TTAAGGAATGCACTTGTCATGATGAGCACTGGGTAATATATGGAATTGATGAATCACTATACTGCACGCCTGAAACTAATATGTAACACTGCATGTGAACTACACTGGAATTAAGATAAAAATTTAATAAAATTTGTTTTTTGTTTAGTATGAAATTTCAGTGAGGGAACACAAAATTATCACCAACAGAGGGCAGTAGTGAACACAGAACATATGTATACAAAAAGTGATCTAGCTTCAGTTAAGATCTTCCTCCAGAATTCCAGTAAACTAGAACAAGGAGCATCCCTGCAAGGTTAACAGCAGAAGCAAGAAATAGAGAATATGCAAATACATATCTAGAAGAAACTGAATTATAAATATAAACCAAAAAATAGGTTAAAATGGCAGAGTATTTATACACAATGTCATCTCCCTAATTAAACACACCACTCTCAATTCACTGGTTTCACTGCTCCTCAGAAGCTACCATAAATAAAGCTAGAGCAAATGAATGGCCAGCTTCATATATGTATAAGCAGAAGGAAGGTTTGCCCTTTTGTGAGCAATAGGTAATGCTCAAGAGGATCGATGTCCCAGCCACGTAGGGTAGGAAAGCTCCATCCAAGTGGAAAACAGAGACCACTACAAATGCCAGCAATCACTGCATTACATCTGGGCACAGTGTGAAGGTTAAAGGGAAAGAGTGCAGCTCAGGTTATCTGAAACAGCCTATAAATGAATGCAGGCAGCTGGCAATAAGGAGTCTAACATGTATACCCGCTGCCTATACCGTGCAGGGAGTTATGCATCCTTTCCTTTCTTTCCTCCAACCTCTGTTGTCCCTCTTCATTTTCACTTTCTTCACAGAACTGGATTCTCTATAGATGACTGAAAGCTATGGCACCAAATGAGATGAGGTACTACTCACTTTTATCCTCAGTTTGTTTCTCTTTGCTTAGACTCCTGCATTTTTTTAGTATTTTCCTCTCTGCTCTTCTAGCCTGCATGCTCTTCTAACCTGCATGTTGAATTCAAGATAGCTGAAACGCTGTGGAGTTTCAATCAAAGACAAAAGAAAAAAATGTTTTGACTTCTACTGTTATCTACATGTAAAAATGTATACCTTGACCACTTCAAACTCATTAGGATGGCTAGCATCACAAAACAAAAACAAAAACAATAAACTATCAAGTGTTGGCAAGGATATAAAGAAATCAGAAAGTCAGAACTCTTATGTACTGTTGGTGGGAATGTAAAGTGGTACAGCCACTGTAAAAAAAGAAAAATTACATATAGAATTACCATATTATCCAGCAATTCCACCTCTGGCTATATATCCCAAAGAATTGAAAGCAGGGTCTCAAAGAAATATCTGCACTCCTGTGTTCACAACAGCATAATTCACAATAGTTAAAATATGGAAGCACCCCAAGTGTCCAAGGACATGAATGGATAAAGCAAGCGTGATATACACATACAATGGAATATTATTCAGCCTTTAAAAGGAAGGAAATCCTGCCATATGCAACAACATGAACCTTGATGACATTATGCTGAGCAACATTAAGTCAGCCACAAAAAAGACAAATACTGTATGATTCTACTTACACGAGATACTCAGAGTAGTCAAAATCATAGAAATACAGAGTAGAATGCTGGTTGCCAGACTTGGGGGGGAGGGAGGGTGGTTATGGAGAGTTATTGTTTAATGGCTACAGAATTCCAGTTTTACAAGATGAAAAGAGTTACAGATATGGATGGTGGCGATGGATGCACAACATTCTAAATGTATTTAATACCGCTGAACTGTACACTTTAAAATGGTTAAGATGATAAATTTCATAAGTATTTTGCCACAGTAAAAAAAAAAAAAAAGTATGCCTTGCTTAAGAGCAGGAATTAAGGTTAACAGGAATAAAGAAATAAAAGGTTGCTTCATTTTTTTTCTTGGCTCCTCCACCAATACACCATATTGGGTACCACTATGCTATGGTCAAATTGGACTATTTACCATTTCCTGACCCTGCTCTACATTCTCCTAGAATGCCTAGAATGCCCTATATGCTGCCCCTCACTTCAGTCTCTATTCTACACTTTATTCAAGAGCAGCAAAAATGGCATCTCCAAGAAACCTGTAATACCCCTTTCTGTCCACAGTTTACTCAGTCCCCTATTTCCAAATACTACAGCATCCTTGCATCATGACTGTTTGTGTACTTTCTCTTTTATTGCAGAAGGTCATGCTCAAAGCCTTTTGTTTAAAAATCTTGTTTGCAGGACTCCTGGGTGGTTCAGTTGGTTAAGCGTCCCAGTCTTGATTTCAGCTCAGGTCATGATCTTATGGTTCTTGGGACCAAGCCCCGCATCTGGCTCTGTGCTGACAACACAGAGCCTGTTTGGGATTCTCTCTCCCTCTCTCTCTGCCCCTCCCCAATTTGTGCACTCTCTCTCTCTCAAAATAAATAATCATTTAATAAAATAAATAAATAAATAATAAAAATAAAAATCTTGTTTGCGTATGTTTTCCTAAGAATTAGAGAGATGTTTATACCTCAGTGTTGCTTAAAAAGGTAAATGAATATTGGAACTAGATGTCACCTAGAACTAGATGTCATATAGTTTCAGTCCTAAGTCAAACAATCAAATGCTTTTCCCCGGGTTATCTCAATCAGTTATACCGAGGCTGTGTTGCAAAGCAAAGGCAAATCTTGTACTACTACCACCACTAAGTGAACCGTGCTAGCTCTTCAGCCCAGAATTACTCAGAAAACTGAAGTATTCCATCGTCAGGCAGAGGACTGAAAGGAGAGAGAGCAATACCTGGATATTATTCAGCAATATATTTAAATGAAAACAAGGAAGACAGTTTCTAGGCAGTGTCTTCTCTGGGTATCCTGCAATTTGTATCTCATAAGCAAACAAAAGAATCAAAATATTGTCCACCCAGTGCTCGCTTCGGCAGCACATATACAAAATATTGTCCACCCAAAGACCAGCACCCCCAATGTTTGGAGCTCCTAAGACATTGGCTACACACATGCTGTTCTTACTTCCTGGCCCACAGTCAGTCATCTTCATCCCCCCCACAGGCCTAGCAAACACCTCAAAAACCCAGGTAAGAAGTCAAATTCTCTAGGAAACCTTTTCTGCCCACTCGGAGAATAAGATTTGATACAAATAAAAGGCATTCATTAGTGTTTATGTTATCAACTAAAATTACTCAGAATAGGGGTTCCTGGCTGGCTTAGTCAGTAGAGCATGCAGCTCTTGATCTAAGGCTGTGAGTTCAAGCCCCACATTGGGTGTGGAGATGATTTAAAAATAAAATCTTTAGGGGCGCCTGGGTGGCTCAGTCAATTAAGCATCAGACTTCTGCTCAGATCATGATCTCACAATTCTTGGGTTCAAGCCCCACATCAAGCTCTCTCTGTGCTGGCAGCTCAGAGTCTGGAGCTTGCTTTGGATTCTGTGTCCCTCTCTCTCTGCACCTCCCCTGCTGGCGCTCTGTCTGTCTCTCAACAATAAATAAATGTTTAAAAAATAATAAAATAAAACATTTTTAAAAATAAAATACGGGAAGCCTAGGTGGCTCAGTCTGTTGGGCATCTGACTTCAGCTCAGGTCATGATCTCACCGCTCCCGAGATGGAGCCTCGAGTCAGGCTCTGTGCTGACAGCTCAGAGCCTGGAGCCTGCTTTGGATTCTGTGTCTCCCACGTTCTCTGCCCCTCCCCCACTCTCATTCTCTCCCCCCCTCAAAAATAAAAATAAACATTTAAAAAATTTTAATAAATAAAATAAAATAAACAAAATTACTCAGAAGGTCTAGGATCACACCTGAGATATCACTCCTAATATTTCCATGCGACAATGTGTGTACTTTTGGTGAAATAACTGCTTTGTTTTTTTTTTTTTCTGGATTCAAATCCTATACGCAAAAGCAGTTAAAAAAAGAAAAACACAACTGCCTTTTTAAAGCCTAAGCAGTTTTGAAACAAACTGATGCAAAAACAGCTGAAATTTCAACATTGCCTTTAATCAAAGTGCGATTTTAGACCAACTAGACTTAGACTCCCTGAGCCTGTTTCCTATTCTTTAAAATGAGTGTCCACATAGGACAGTTCCTAACACATAGGAAGCCCACAAAAATCTAAAATCATTTTTATTGCCTATCTCTCGAGTATATTTTGGCACTGGATTCATTCCTATGACTAGTTCTCAGTCTAAACCAGTGTTGTTCAATATAGTGGCTATATGTAACCACTGGTCGCTTGAAATCTGGGTAGTACTAATTGATATGTGCTTTCAGTGTAAAATACACATAATATCTCAAAGACTTGGTGAAAAAATAAAATACCATATTAACATTTTGTATATCGATTACACAAAAAGATCATACTATGGATATACTGAGTCAAATGAAATAAAATTGATTTCATCTGTTTCTTTTTACTTTTTTAATGTTGCTTTTAGAAATTTTTAAATTATATATTTAGCTTTCATTATATTTCTATCGGACAGGTTGACTTACACTTTGACTTCAAGCTGGTCAATGTGCTCTCTTAACCATACAGTGCACTAGTTCACAGGGGTTCGCTCCAGCCAATCCACCCCCTATCCCAGCATACAGTGGCTCACTTAAACACTCCCCACTTCCACAACCCGGGAAAGCTGATTTAGCAGTTCTTTAATTTTTAATTTTAATCTGGAGCGCACAGAGCAGCCGAGGCAACTCGAAATTGTTGCCCACACAACTACAGAGGAAAAGTTGAGGGAAAAACCCAGCGTCCTCTTCGGACGACGAACACTGCTGCGAGGCTGGGAGCTTGAGCAGAAAAGGGTCACCCCTAAGAAAGTGAGAAGGGGCGACAGGGCAAGCGCCTCGGATCTGAAGGAACATAACGTAGAGCCCACGGAGTGGAGGTGTCAGAAGGAAAGCCTTTTCAGCTTCTGGGGAACCAATCTGAGGATGGAAGGGAAGGAGCTGGGCTCCGTGGCCGCGGCAGGGAGGATCGATACCTTAAGAATCCCTCTCATCTTAGCCAGAAAGGGGCGGAACTCCTCCAGTGACACGTCTGGATAGAGCTGGCTCCGCAGCAGCTCTTCTGTGATGCCTTGATGCCCGTGGAAAGCTTCCTGGGCCAGGCCGCTCAGCAACCCACTCAGAGGTTTGGAACCCTCAAGCTCGCCCGCCATGGTCAGCTGCAGCCCCGCCCCCCAGCAGCTGAGCGCAGCCTCGCTACGGCACCCGGGATGGGCCTAAATAGCCTGGGCAAAGGCGCGCGGGACGAATGAGGGCGAAATTCCGCCAGCGGTTGGTATTGGTAGCCAACAGATTTGCTCTGCAAAACCCATCGCCTAGGGCTGCCACCGTGGAGCTATCCATAAAGTTCCAGAAGAATCACTTTACTTCCGCTGATTCCCTTCATTACTCCAGGGCCTACTGAAAGGAAAGATCACTGGGTGAAGACCACCTGACATGGGGAACTATTCTATGAATGAAGGTGGTAGTTTAACTTTGGAAAGGCTGCATCTCATCCCAGGCCTTGCCAATCCACTAACTGAATAGGATCTATCACTCAGATGTAATCTCTGCCTGATCATTACCTGTCCACCTTTTGTCCAAGAAAATTTAACTAACGCCTAATAATATAATGTGTTTTCTAGGATTATTTGCCTTTATATATATGCGTGTGTCTTGTGTTTCCAGCTAGATCAGCGGCTCAGCTCCGATGCTCGTTTTTTATAACATTCTGTTAACACCTTCTTTACAATCCTGAAATGAAATGCATAGGTTATATAATTTTGTACCCATATAGTTTCAAAAAACCAATATATTATTCACCCATGAGAAGGAATGAGGTACTGATACATGCTACAACATGCATGAATCATAAAAACATGTTAAGTGAGGGGCACCTGGGTGGCTCAGTCAGTTGAGCACCCTGAACTCGATTTCAGCTCAGGTCATGATCCCAGGTTCATTGGATTGAGCCCCGGATATGACGCCACGCCAAGCATGGAGCCTGCTTAAGATTCTCTCCCTCTCCCTCGCTCTTGCTCTCCACCTCTGCCCCTCTCCCCCGCTTGTTCTCTCTGAAAGAAAGAAAGAAAGAAAGAAAGAAAGAAAGAAAGAAAGAAAGAAAGAAAGAAAGAAGGAAAGAAAGGAAGAAAGAAAGAAAGAAAGAAAGAAAGAAAGAAAGAAAGAAAGAAAGAAAGAAAGAAAGAAAGAAAGAAAGAAAGAAAGAAATGCCTAAGGCAAGGCAACAGCAAAAGAAGACTCTGAAGCCCTGGCTCAAATGGAAAATATGAAAACCTAAGACAGCCTTCCCAGAAACCAGGTTTCCTTTTCATTATGACCAAATAGGTTTACATTCTAAGTTCCATTAAGCAACTGGTCACTTCTCCTCTTACACTACTCCTTTTATGGCTCACAGACTTTTGATCTCAGGCAAGAAATAGGTGTTTTTTTTTAAGATTTTCCATCTCTAAAAATGTTAAGATAAGAAATGTGGACTGAAATAAAGGGCAAACACAAGGGCCCCAAAGTTTTGCAATAAACTCTTCCTGTTCTCTGTCTCTACTCCACCTTTTCAAATTCTACTTTAATTACCATTCACTCTCCAATCAGCCAGCCACTCAACAGCTATTAGTGGAGAGTTTTGTGCCAGTCATTCTGCTAGGCTTTAGGGGATACAAAAATGAATGTCTGTATCCTAAAATCTTACATTCTGGTAAGGGAAGATGATATATAAATGAAGGGGAGCAGAATATGCCACCCTAAAATATGCCATTTTGGCATAAGGATTATTGTGAGCTAAAGGCAGTGAGAAGAAACAGATATAAGAAAAGCTTCTGGCCCTATTTGCCTAAAAGCAGGATGTAAATTTTCAAAGGTGTCCCACCTCTGTCTACCAGGAAAGACAAAAGTTAATTGCAGGAGACAACTGTAGGCTTTACTAATGAAGAAGGCATGGAATTAAAACTGGCTAACAAATCTTACTCTTCTTTCCCGTGCTTTTCCTGGACATCTCCCCATAACAGGCCTTCCTTACAACTTTCTTTCTTTTGTCTTTAGTTGAAGATGGTATATAAATTGGAGTTCTAAGCCATCACTTTGAGTTACTCATTTTTCCCTGGGTATCTCACATGTATACATTATGGATACATGTCAATAAACTTGTTTTGTTTTTCTCATTAATCTGTCTTTTGTTTTAGGGGTCCCAGATAAGAACTTACAATAATAAAGGGAAAATTATTTTTTTACCCCTCTACTTAAACAAATGATTAAAATACAATGAACTAAGGGTTGCTACTACTCAGTACCTAGAAGTAACTATCAGATTTGGTAGTAGAAAAAAGAAGATTGATTAACTCAGCTTGTGTAGATCAAGGAATGGCTTAATGGTGAATAGTGTTAAAGGAGCTAATCAAGAGGACATGATACTAGTTGACCCATGAGCTGGACCTGGAATATGAGAGTCTCCTCACCCACTCCCCTGTCCTTGGAATGTACATTCTGCCAGTTCCCACAGGGGGAGCTATTCCAAGGACATAGTCTGTAGAGAGTAAGGTGTTATTCAGACCATCTAGATGGTATATGTGACTGAGCCCAATTAAGGCCTCTATATAAACTTTAAATTATTCATGCAGAGATCTGCTTATCTTGCAGTCATCCAAGACAAGCCTCATAAGTAAGTTCCCTTGCTTATTAAAACTGCCACCTACCAGTTTTGAGTGGTCTGCCTTTTTATTCAGTCTCTCCTGCCCTCCATGTATGGGACCTGGTCTGAGATTTCACCCAGGAAGCTCCAAAGGCTGCAAACCAACAAAAAGCCAGACATGTTGCAGGGGAAACAGCATGTTCCTATGTATGGAGACATGAAACAGAGTGGTGTTTTGAGGTACACTATGAACCCCATAGTGCAACAATAGGGTTCAAGATATTCTACCCCAAAATATGGAACTTTGGCATATTGAATATTTGAAGAAACGTGAGAAACAAAACTTGGAAATAACAGGTACAGGAAGGACTCCCTGATCTCCCCCCTTCTCTTGTGAAGCAGGTCAGAAGACTCTCATGTGAGAGTTGCCCTCTCTATACCCAGAGTATTATTATCTCCAAAGATGGAGGGATGCCAAGGGGACTCTGAACAAACAGGTTTGCTGAGTTTTCCCAGTTTACAACCCTTAGCTCATACCTTTTTGTCGTATCACATTTTTTCCCACAACTTTCCATTCTTCATCAAATCTAGCATAAAAATACTCAGGTTTGGGGCGCCTGGGTGGCTCAGTTGGTTACGTGTCCGACTTCAGCTCAGGTCACAATCTCGCAGAGCCTGCTCAGAGCCTGGACCCTGCTTCCAATTCTGTGTCTCCCTCTCTCTCTGCCCCTCCCCCGTTCATGCTGTGTCTCTCTGTCTCAAAAATAAGTAAACGTTAAAAAAAAAAAAATTAAAAAAAAATACTCAGGTTTAACCACTTCTTCAGGTCTTCATTTCCTTATCAAGTTTCCATGCCACATGAAACATATTAAATAAATGTGTATGCTTTTCTCTTGTTAATCTATCTTTTGTTACAGAACCCCAGCCAAGGAGCTAGAAGGGCAGAAGGAAAAAGATATTTTTCCTCTTCTAGAGTAACAAGAGTAGAATGAGGAACCTATGGTAATAAATTTGGAAAGATAAACAGCCTGTGTCACAGAGATGGAAAGTTTACACATAATGCTGACTTTTATACTTGGTCATTGAGGATAACTGAACAGTTGTAAGCAAAGGAGTAATAGGAAGATCAGATTTGCTGTTTTTTTTTTTTTTTATGTTTATTTATTTATTTTTGAGAGAGACAGAATTCCAAGCAGGCTCCACGCTGTCAGCACAGAGCCCAACACAGACTCGAACTCACAAACCATGAGATCATGACCTGAGCTGAGGTCAAGAGTCAGACACTCAACCCACTAAGTCACCCAAGCATCCCCAGATTTGCATTTTTAAAAGATTCCTCTATGTGGCAGTGTGGCAAATAAATTGAAGGACCAAGGAAGGCCAAGGCTACAGTATCATAGTAAGCAAATAGATGTTGATATGGGTCTGATCGAAGGCAGTGACATTTAGGATAGAGAATATAAGAAAGATTCTTGATTCAAAGAAGGTAAAATTTGTAGGCTTTGGATGAGGGAAGAGAGGAAAAAATGAAAGGAATGATTCCCGGTTTCTGATTTAGGTGATTGAGTTGTAGATGATGGTCTGGAGCATACAGGGGCTCAATTTATTCATGTGCTAATCCTCCACATAGCTTGTGTGTCCTTATATCCTTCAATGAGCTTTATGAATCAAGTGGCACCTGGGTGGTTCAGTCAGTTGAGTGTCTGATTCTTGATTTTACTCAGGTCATGATCCCAGGGTCATGGGATCCATACTGTGAATGGAACCTGCTTAAGATTCCCTCTCTCTCTCTCACTGCCCCTATCCCCTACTGGCCTCTCTCTCTCTCTCTCTCTCAAATAAATAAATAAATAAATAAATAAATAAATAAATAAATAAATAAATAAGTTAGTTTGGGTGCACCTGGGTGTCTCAGTTGATTGAGCATACAACTCTTGGTTTTGGCTCAGGTCATGATCCCAGGGTGGTGGGATCAGG